CCTCTCGGTATCTTATCAACATCTGACAGTATGCTTCCTATTACAATTGGTAGGAGTCAGCTTTAGCACAGTGATCAACATAAGGAGAGGGAGAAAGAGAGAGGGGGATTGGGATCAGTACCATGAACTGGTCGAGCTCAGGGTCGTCGGAGGGCTGCTTATGACGGTAGCTCAAGCGCGAGTCCAGCTCCCGGGCTAAGGCCGAGAGCCGTGCCACCACCTCCGGCGGCGCCCCCACCTACCAAAGCAATATATGGTTTATGGAGTGGCGGAGCTGGAAGCAAGTGATGAACATACCTTTTGGCACTCAAGATGGGCTCCGAGAAGGTTGGAATACCGAGGGTGAGACATGATCTTGGCCTTGATGCCTTCTATATCGCTTGCAGATCTCTCTCCTCCTCCTCCCTCCACTTCTCTTGCTTGAGATGGCGGTAGAGAAGAACTGGCTTCGAGTTTAAGGGGTGGAGGTTTGAGGTAAGGTGAGTTAGCAGTGGTGGGGTAATAATTCCGGTCATATAAGGCGGCGCTCAGCGGCGGAGTAGCTGATGATACGGTCGTGGTGGTGGTCGATGATGGTAGGTGTAACAAAGATTCGGTCCAGTAGGGGGGTTTCTCCATCCTGGAGAGAGAGAGAGAGAGAGACTCGGCAGTCGCAGATCGAATTATTGCACCTATACTATCACAAGAGCTGAGGCTTGGCGTGATGAGACAAGGAGGAGAGGAAAAGGTAGAAGATGAGGAGGATCACACGCAAGACTTGTCCCAAACAGACCCAAGGCCTATGGAGCGATAAGGTTTAGAGAGAGAAGGGAAAGCTAGGCTTTCTTTTCCGTTGTCAAATCACGTTGACGGGGAGATGGTCTCTTTCAGTGGCTAATGGTGTTCCATCTCGTCATCACTGCCTTCCAGTAATCTTAGGTGTAGGAACAGAACGCACACTGTGCCCATAGGGGAGTAGAGAGAGAGAGAGAGAGGAGGTGGTGGTGGTGGGGTTGCACTGTAGCAGTACACACCGCACGGGACAATAACTTCAGCTCATGTTCTTCTCGGAAGACTTCCGTCAGTGAACGTGAAGGCCTTTTCGATCTGGTCTCACGAGAGAATGGATCGGTCGGCAGACCGCCGGCAAGCCATCCCCACGCCTCGGTGTCCCAAACCCTCTCACTGTAAACTTTGTTCTTCGTCGCAGGCGATACAGATGAGAAAAGGAATCGAGCCATCTTCTGCAAACAGTTCGTCGCTGTGTTCAGATGCGGTTTCCTGTGACCTCGAGCTTCTCCAGTGTAACGAAGCCACTGGTGTCGACCCAAGTTGTTCTACCGTAGGTTAGAGTAATCATATCTGAGGAACCTAATTTGGTCCAAAACAAATGGGGATTCGTTCTCTGCTTGTGTTGTCATCGTTGATCCGATCATCTCTCTCCACACTGTTCATGTTCTTCAGCGTTCATCTCACTGATGCTGTTCTCTTTCCAACATGGGGGACTGCAGCTACAGGAATAGGTGGCTGTGAGCTTAAAGAATGGATGAGGTGAGGCAGAACTTAAAGAAGCTGTTCTCTTTCCAACGTGGAGGATTAATAATGATAATTAAGTTACGATGATGAGGTGAGGCACAACTTCAAAGAAGCTGAGAGAAGCTTCCCAAGCCAATAACAGTCCATAGAATGATAGAGTACCGATGGGCAGTACAATCGAACACATACTGCTAAGTGGCCATCACATCGGTTGTCATCATTAGTACTCTGCTACTAATGTTAATTCCTGTGCATGAGACTCATTTGCAGCACATAAAGACATTAGACCTTCCCACTTTTTTCTCTATCTTGTAAAGAAATAAAACATAAAACTTAGTAATTACTTGGGCAATTTATATATATATATATATATATATATAATCTCTTTTTAAGTTCTTCTCAAACATCATTTCTCATTTTTTTTCCCCAAACTATAATATTTTTACATTACGTCGCAATACTTTCGATAATATATATATATATATATATATATATATATATATATATAATACTATAACACAGTATAAAAATATTATGTTGTAATATTTTTATAGTATTATCAGAAACAAAATTAATATGTTACGTCTTTTTTTTAATCTAATTCGTGAAATATTATTTTCGATCAGTCGGTCGATAGGGTAAATTGGTCTAGTTATAATGTTATCAGTAATACTAAGCAAAAAGGATAATATTTTTATATAATTTTTTTGAAAAATAATATGTTATATATACTTTTTTTCCCCCAACTATAATAATTTTACATTACGTCGTCACAATTCTTTCGATAATATATAAAAAAATACTATAACACAGTATAAAAATATTATGTTGTAATATTTTTATAGTATTATCAGAAACAAAAATAATATGTTACAAGGTCTTTTTTTTAGTCTAATTCGTGAAATATTATTTTTGTTTTCTTTTTCTATGGATCGGTCGATATGACAAATTGGTCTAATTATAATGTTTATACACTATATGGCAAAAAGGATAAATTTTATGAAAAATAATATGTTTATGATTTCAATAATGCTAAAAAAATACTATAATATATAAATTAGGAATTATGAAAAAAGTGGACCAATCCACTAGAGGATGCTTCCAGAAAAATCCAAAAAAGAAGAATTTTTTTCATAGAATTCATCCTAATTATGAAAAGACTTGAAGTGTAAATAAAAGAAAACAAAAAAGTTAAAATCTTATAAATGTTGTGATTAGGCATTAATGTGATTTTGATATTCTAGTCTCCAAGAAGCTAATCGGATGCGTCTCTAATCAAATTATTATTCTACTTTCTGTCTTTTCATCTTTCTTCTACTGTTGTGGATGTCAAGTTTCTATCAAGTGTTAAATTCATTTCTAGAGAAGAAGGTCTCTGTAGGTCCTTCAGGAAACAAGTTTCATCTGCAGCAGTAGGAGAGAGAGAGAGAGAGAGGAATAACTCTTAATGATTTGATCGAAACCTTCGGTGGTTTGGAAACACTGCTCCACTGTTCCTCGCTACAGATGTAAGGAAATTATCACTGTTGGACAACATACCAATCGATTATCCATGCATTCAATAGTTGAAAACCTAGGGATGATGATGATGATGATGTCCAACATTTATGACACCCGTAGTTGAAGTAGATTGTGACATTTTGGAACGGATAGCCTCGCAAATGGGCTTTCGATCCGAGCCCAAATGCTTCGCCATTATTATGTGATACACTGCCATATCTATCTCACCATCTCCAATACAATACGACGACTAATAGAGGATTCAGGATATTAATTATTATCAATTAAGGAGACATCATCGTTTAAGAAAAAGTCTTAACATTGAGTGAGGGACAAACATTTCACCTACTCTTCCATTCGCTCTCCTATCGATTTATGATCGGAGGGATGGATGAAGCGTTTTTATTGGTCCCATACCGCATAGATGTTGTGTTCTGTTAAACCATGCCATCGAAGAAGAAGAAGAAGAAGAAGAAGAAGACGATTTTACTGGAGCTATAAGTGTTGTTTTAATGGTGTGCTTGAGGAGTCTTATCCATCATGTCATCTCACCCCACTACTCTTTCTCGCACTCATACAATGATTCTTTTGGCAAGTCTATCAACACAATGATTTTTTTTCTTCTGCAAGTCTTGAAGCTGAAGAGTTGATTAATTACTTCTGTACATATGTAGTTGATTAATTTACTATTTCTTTGGGAATAATATCAGATTAGGGAGTAATATTAACTGCATAATCGAACCCTTACCACCTTCGGCTTAATCTTAAGATATCAGATGTTTGGTGGCTAACTGTTCTGTACTTCTTATGCTTTGTTATGATGGAAGGATCCTTCGATATATATCTATCGACTCTGTCTCACCCACTGCTACATCTAACGACAATATGTCTCCAATGCAATCGTATGTCGCTCAGTGGCCATGCGCATCCACCATGAGATAAGCCTCGCTACTCTCTCTCTCACGCTCGCACACGCAGAGTTCACCATTCATGATTAGCAGAGCTCTCAGGGTCAGGATAAGCTAGTAAGGACGCTGGCCGTCGACGTTGCCCGGCGGGTCGTAGTTGCAAGCGACGAAGGTGTCGCCGTCGTCGCACGTCACCTGAGCGCAACCGAGGTGAACCGAGTCAGCCCACACCACCTGGTTGTAGTGCCCACACGCCTGGCCCGGGACGCAGCTGCTGCTGTGGTAGTCGTAGTACCGTAGCTCGGAGACCCAGTCGTCGATGGCGTCGGCCGGCGTGTACCCGGCGGAACCCTCGAAGATGTTCTCGCCGTAGGGGCCTCCGGAGTGCACGAGCTCACAGTCCGCCTTTCGCCGGTGGGCGTATCGCCGGGCGTCCACGAGAGGAGGGGTCGGACTCCGACGCTCGATCGGACGGAGTTGTGGGCGCGGAGGAAGTCTTGCACGGAGCTAAGAGCTCTGATGGCAGGCAGAATGGCACATGACAGAGATAAGGATACGTAGGCCAACCTCATCTTCGTCTTCTCTCTCTCTCCCTCTATATGACGGACCGAACGCGGTGCGTAAGATTTCTTGGTCGTGGATCTGTCGGTGGAAGTAATAGCCAATCATGGCGCGCCGAAGACAAGTGGTGTCAGCACCATTGTCATCTTCGAACCTGTTTCTGGGTCCATTGGGATTTACTTGGACCGAACCGGCTCGGCGAGCCGGTCCTTTTCCTTCCAATTGCTCCCAGAGCTGATCCTGTTGCCGGGTCACATGGATTGGGTTCGGTTCATGGCCCGAACCGGGTTGGACCATAATTCGCCAAATGCCAGCCGGTCGAATCGAGTAATTTGGCCCACAAGTAAATATGAGCCGTCCATCATCGTATCTTCTAATCGTATGGTCTCTCGCTCGTCCACAAATTCTTGAAATCTGCATGAGTGCATACAGTGTATGTTGGCAAGTGCATGACAGAGACTGCTGCTATTCTATTCCAAAGAAGAAGAAGAAGAAGGAGAAGAAGAAGAAGAAGAAGAAGAAAAGCCGCTGCCACCAACTCATTCGACAACCACCACATATGTGATTGCATTAATATGGAGAGCCACTCGTGATCAGCTCTCATGCAGCCAAAGAGAAGGAAGCAGAAAGGTCAATCGGATGGGAAGATCCCCCTGCTGCGACAAAGCCACGGTGAAGAAAGGCCAATGGTCGCCCGATGAGGACGCCAAGCTCAAGTCCTACATCGAGCAGCACGGCACCTGCGGCAGCTGGATCGCCCTTCCCCAAAAGATCGGTCCGTCACGCTGCTTTACCTCCACCTTCCTTCGCACCAAATCTTACCTCTGCTCTTCTTCTTCTTTCTTCTTCTTGTCTGCATGATCAGGGCTGAAGCGGTGCGGTAAGAGCTGCCGCCTCCGATGGCTGAACTACCTCCGGCCGAACATAAAGCACGGAGGGTTTTCCCAGGAAGAAGATGATATCATATGTAGCTTGTACGTCAGCATCGGTAGCAGGTGATGACCGGATCTGCATGTTGTCCTGCGTCCATGTGTTTGATGATCGCATATGAAGGTGCAGAGCTTCTTCTGTGCTTGGCTATTAGGTGGTCTGTGATGGCTTCGCAATTGCCCGGGAGGACCGACAACGACATCAAGAACTACTGGAACACAAGGCTGAAGAAGAAGCTCTTTGGCGAGCGGCCCAAGGAGCCGCCGCACAGCCGTCGGGCTTCAGCCTGTGGCCAAAAGCAGGAAGCCAAGGGAGATGATAATGGAGATTGGCGGGAGCAACCTGCTCTGGTGTATCCGACCGATCACGTTATGGGATCAAGCTATGGAGGTCCTCTTGTCGTACCATCATCGACACTTCCCCGGCAGCAAATTTGTGATGATGATGATGATGATGGTGATCTCAATGGCTTGGCGTGGTCTTCGTTACTGGGAACTCCGGGTGGCCAAGCTTTGCAGGATCCCAGTGGCTTCTCAATCGAGCTCGACGAGGTACTTGGATTCAACCAGGCGAACTTGGAAGAGAGCAACGTAACTGCAGAGTCGGAGAAGATGAACTGGAATGAAGTAAGCCCTTTGTTGTACTCGGATCCAGTGATCAAAGGCTGTGAAGGGATGCAACAGTCTCTGCCGCAAGAGCAGATGACATGTAACTACGATTTGATATAGATCTGTTGCCTTGGAATCGATCACCGTTTGGAGTCTGCTACTAAATTTGGTTCTTAGGCTAATATGGTAAGATCTTCAGAAACAAAAAAGTGTTTTGTCGTTGAAAGCCTTTGGTGAGGAAGTTTTTGGTCTGAAAGGATTTCTATGTGGTGATGGGATTGGAGTGGATTTGTGGTGATAGAATCATACTGATGACCCATCTCAAATGCATGACATGTTGGCCACAGTACTGATGTGCATACTCTTTACAGAACTGACACTACATGCAACATACCATCATATAAACCAATTTTGCAGTTGCTACATACCATCAACTCCTATAAATAGGATAATTAGCAGTCACTTTGTACTGAAATTGCAGCAAAAGAACCATGATTTGGATGATCAGCAGCTGCAAATACTGAATCCTGACAATTGCAGAACCATTGAGTCAAAAGCCACCCATACCTATACTTCCAAATGTAGGTACGTAGGTCATGCAGGGATATATAATATCTATCTTGAACACACCCCTTGTTCGGGACTCTTCTGCCCTAAAGAAGCAGATTTCTTTCAGCCAAGCAGTGAAGCTATAAGTTCAAAAGATTTCTTTTCTGTTGGTCAGCGTGTTAGAATTCATTAGAGACTGAGGACTCCATGTCTTGGCACATTTCATAAGCATCAGAACAAGAACAAGTGCTGCTCCCTTTCATGCTGAAGTTCCACAGCACATGGCAGACCATCCAAATGTAATAAAGGAGTAGTTTAATTGGCAAAAGGTGAAGCATATGCTTGGATGTCTTCTTCATGTGTGGTTAGTTCATCATCACAGCTTCTTCTGAAGGAAGTTTCTGTGGTGATGCAGGGAATGATTTAGTCGTCTGATTCAGATTAACCATAGCTTCCTCCACTTCGTAGAGGAGGTTCTGATGCTTGAACGTACTCCAAGAGTATATGTCAGCAGTGACACCATCAAAGCTAGAAGAAGGCCATCGACTTGATCCTCATCAAAAGTATATTTGGTCTTATGTTAGATGAACTAATCTGGACCATACCATCATCCCCTGAAACTGTGTCGGGAGAAGTGCTCTCCATCATGTCATGAATCCAACTGGTACACTCAGACAGAGACAGCTAAAGCAGACGTATCTCACAATATTCCACCACCAAGCATGGTGGTGAGAGAGAGAGAGAGAGAGAGAGAGGAAGAGGCCAACGAGCCACCTTCCTCAGAGGGTGCAACACAAACCCTAAGAATCTCAACCATCCTCATCACGAAAATACTCGTGCAATCTCGCAGACGATCCCTCATGATTTGTTTACTCCATGGCAGAGACAGTCACCAACACAAACTCGTGGCATCTACCTCGTCCACGCTATCTCACACTCCCAGTAAATAGCACCAGCTTAGCATATATAATGTCGTCCCAAGGGAGATAAAATATGAAGGGATAAAGATGTTTTGCCTGCAATATCTTGTTTGTTTATTCATGGCAGGAGGGTTGTGATGTTGGATCGATTTCTCTCTGCCGAGCGAACGGCTCTAATCATGCCGAGACAAGAAGTGACAGGGAGAAGGCAATGGCATGAGACGAAAGGGGAGGGTTGTGCGAGCGCAGGATGTCACATCTGACAAGGAAGATGTAAAGGTTAAGTGAACGATTTAGCTGAGCCAAAAAGGAAGAGATTTGATGAGATTTAGAGATGGCCACGAGCTGCACGAGGATGCGGTTGATGATGGTGATGGACTTGCTTTATGTCTCACCCATTTTGTCCAAATCGTGACGCATAAATCCCAAGATTATTATGGACATATATTGAACATGTACATGTCGCACTAAGAAGCACCATGAACAGTGTGTCCGAGTAGTGTTTCCAACGTAGCTGTGACGAGAACAGTGATCGACAAGTAGATGCACAGATTAAACTGATGAGAGATTTCGTTAATATCATCTTCTGTGACATGCTAAGGGCAGAAGAAAATGGATTGTGTTGCATCCATAGATCTCTTCTTGCAGTCTTAATTTGCCAAAGCGACAACAAAGTTATCCGAAACTGCTACAACAACAACAACAAAGTTACATTCATGAACAGATGGAACTGATGAGAGACTTGGTAATCATGTCCGTGGCATGCTACAGGTAAAACTAACTGGATTGTAGCATCCAGATCTCTTCTTCTTACAGTCTTAATTTGCCAGAGGAACACAAACGTAATCTGAACTGTGACTGTTTCAGAGTGTCACAAATAAGAAAAAGCTAACGAGGCATCAACAAGCAAACGAATATGCCGAAAGCCAAAACTAGATGGTGGCGATGAACACGAGCCTCTGCAACCTCAGAATTAGACTGCTCAGATACAATGGAAAGAGCTTTTCGGAAGGCGATACGAGTTAACCTGCTACATCCAGAGATTCTGAACTGGCAAAAAACACACACAAACTGAAATTTCTACAAAAAAATGCAACAAGAAAACTAAGTAACTCCACCTCCTGATAATCACCATCGGACATCAAAAGACTCGTTGCCTTTTGATGAAACATTTGCACACAATATCAGTGATGCTGGCAAGAACGTAATATGAAACAATCATAATCTAGAAAGTTATCATGTCATATAAGCTTTCTCAATGTAGCTGACTATATCTGTAGAAAAACAAGAGCACGTGTGAAGGCAAATAATAAATGAATGAAATCAGACTCACGTATAATCAATCTGACTCAGATGACAATCTCCAAAAATTGACTGCACTTTACATCGGGGAACTCTTGCTTTGTAGTGACACGAGCATGCTAACTGCAGTAACAACCTGTCGGAGTCTAGAGATTGGAAGCCCCACAAGCGTTGGATGAGACAAATCATTCCTCGACTCTGTTGGTTCATCTTTTCTGTTGGATCCACTTGTGCCTTCACCATCCACCAAGCAAACATTATGACTCTCTGGTGGGAACTGGGAATAAGCAGAAAGCAGTTGTTCATGAATTTGTTCCATTCTTCCAGACTGCTCATCCGCTTTATCCATCTCGATTAAATCCTGTGAGAACTAATATTAGAATGACGTGCTGACCGAATCAACAAGAGTACTAACACGTTGGTTGGCCGAGTACCAACCCTGATGTCATACCAAAAACTAAAATTCCTAATCAAGAAAGAGTGAGTCAGCTGGCTTCCGTGAAGCCCTATCTACAATATAAGTGAAACTAACTATTGTTTTAAAATTTTGGGATATTTGGACTTTCAGCCAAAACCCAAAAAAGTTCAGGCTAACATCGGTTTAAAAGGATACATTTACTTTAAGGCAACTCTAAAACTGGTAGCCAAACCAGAAGGGTGCCTCAACCAACATGGATAATGAGAACCAAGGACTAGAATCCAATCAGAAGCTACTGTACCTTTTAACTGCAGCTACATGCTTTCCAGGTACCTATGCACTAACATGTGTGCTTAAGTACCTCTAATTGATCATGGACAAAAGTCTGTTGGTTGAACACTCAACTCCTCAAAATTGAACTTCTCAAATTTTGGATTTACAAAGCATTACTTGTTATCTTAATTTAGTTTAAAAATTAGATAAATCAAGCTTTTTTAATTTTGACAAGTCTCATAATCCTGACATAAACTATTGGGGATAAAAGCTGTTTGAGCTGCAACATATATAGTTGGCAGATTTTTCCAAACAAAAGAAAACTTCCATTTAACAATCTGCAAAATGATCGTGCTGTATGAGTAGGAAGGAATTCCACCAACCTGTGCTGGGAAATTTCTGAACAGTGGATGAAAGCGTTGCCGGCAGTACTCATTGAAAAGCAGCGTTAGGATCACAAGAGGTATCATGAATCCTGAGGCAACAGGAGATTCCTTAAGCCCAAAAACTCCAAGAGCAATTATCTGTGCCAGCACAAGCGAGAAAATTGTTGTGTTGTGCACAATAGGCCACATTCGTCCCCCGGTTTCATATCTCGAGCAGTAAACATTCATAATCTGCAAATTTGGGGGAATCAAAATATAACCAATTAACTAGTTTCCCAATCTACAATATCATCTTAAAAAATTTGGTAGTTGTAGCTTGGAAATTCAGTTAATTGCTTAAATCTTCAAGACAAGTCCAGATAACATTGCTGAGGTCTCTCAAAAAGTCAAGCATTTTAGAACTTATATCACATGTGGAAAGACTGCTTCCATTTTGAACTCATGATCCTCAACTTAGCATTTGGCAAACAGCTTCACCATTGTACCAGGGTGCATTCCCAATTGTTTGGATCTTGAACAATGCACAATCTAGGGATAAATTAATTGTGAAAAGTGAACAGATTATTTTGGAGATTCAATGGCCAGGCATGTCCAAGGGACTTGAACTAGATTCTTTCTTGATCATGAAGATTTAAATTAGTTCTTTATGCAAGTCAAAATTATTAAATTAATGAATCTCCACTGTACTTTTCATGATAAAAAATATATATGATTTGCTGAGATCTACCAACCAATGCAAGTTAAGGAGTTACAGACACAAATTATTTTGCTTGGAATTATGTTCTTCTTTAAACTCAAAATATAAGTGGGACGCCATTTCAAAAATAACAGTAGAGGAGAGAAACTAAAATATTAAATTGGAAGCCCGTACAAAATCCAAAGATCTGAAGCACTTAACATTGGAGAGATTGCTGCACTTATTGTAACGTGCAATGTGGAAGGATCCAAGAGGCAGTCAACGGAAAAGGCATTTGTAGAAAAGGAGGAGGAGAAGAAGTCCAACTCAAAAGCAGCAATGCAAAGATAATATAAATGATACTTGGTCCGTGATGATTCTACAAAAAATTAACTAAATAATGAGAAAAATATGCTACACTCAGGAGACGAGGAAATTGAATGCATCTGAATTGCACAAGAAGCATACAAGAATGAATGGGAAGAACAAAGAAATTAACATATGCAGTGACAGAGGATACAAGTTGCCAGCAAGGTTAAAAGACTAGTCAACTGTTGGTTTTCTCAACATCTTTCTACTTAACAATAGTTGAGTTTAACCATCTTAAACACAAAAACAGGTTAAGCACATCATTGAAGCTCGCAACAGCTACCACAAAATAGCACAATCATGTACATCATAAACCCCTACAACCATGTAATGCCTTCCCATTTAAAACAACAATTCAAATGA